TTATTTAAAGAAGCAAAATAAAAATATAAGCATATTCATATGTAGAAACAGATTTCTTACTACAGTGTTTATTGTCGGGACAAGAACGCATTAAACAATGACGTCACATGTCATATGTTTACACTAAGGAAAGAACACAAAACTAATGGTGTCATCTTCCAATTATAGAATATAAAGAAATTGAACTATTTCATTAAAATTTGATTTAGATCTACGTTAGCTATGAAATATAGCCTATACAATCCTTAATTATTTTATATAAATATTATTTGGCTTAGCTATGGAATTGGCTAATTTTGGGATAAAATTTTATTGGGAAATAAGAGGGCTTATTTGCGTAACTTAAGTTTCTAACGCGTACTCTCTATGTAAACTACACAACTAATTTTATATCTCTTTGGAGCTTCCCAGATAGCTGAGTTGATAGTGTAAAAGTTACCATGCAGGTGTTACGGGTTCGAACACATCATGTAAATGTAAATTTTTAAAAAATATTGTTTATAGATGTGAGTGATAATAAAGTTGTCTATCGGGACTGGGCGGGGCACAGGGCAGGTGAAGTAGAGTTCGCCCATATCTGTCTTCTTAGCATATGAAGCAATAGTGTGGTCAGATCCATGCTAAGCCGAAATAGGTGTTTTTAAAAGACAAAAACAACATAACTATTAAACTACCATTAAACAGCCGGGTTTTTAACAAAATCATTAAGTCTTTTAATTTTAAGTCTCTTAATCAGCGTGTGAATTTAATATGATGTTGACAAATAATGTATATAATTTAGTTTTAATTTTTCTAATAAGTATTAGTAGTCTATGTTATTTTAAACAAGTATAAACATAGATCGTATTTAAACAAAACCCCTTCTTTTCGTTTTTTTTTTCATAATCTTAACAATGTTTCATTTCAATGCTCATGATCAATAAAATGTTTCTTTTTCTAATTTTCCGATAATGACATTTTAAAAAGCTGAATTACAATTCCTTTTATGACTCACTTTCCGTAGATATATATACAGTTTCTTCAGGCATCTCTACAGTTTCTTCCCCTTTCAAAAAAAACAACAAAACTTAGAAAACCCAGTATCCGCTACTCTATCCCCTTCTCTCCCCCCCCCCCCCCCCCCCCCACACTTTTAAATGCCCTACCCGGAGATAAAATAGAAAAACCGGGTAGCCTATTTGTTAAGAGAAGAGAGCTAACAGTCACCAGAGTTGCCCGTATAACGGGTACCGATGGCTAGTTTTATTATAAACACAACCAAAACACACAAATGAATTAGGAAAACATTGGGCTTATTTCTTTATGAATTTTTGTTTTAGTTTTTGATAATTTACTTTTGTCAAAACTTGAGAAAAATCCAAATTTGGAATATTGAATGTGCTATGACTATTTCGTATGTCAGTTAAGATTTTCATGGCAATGGGTAAAGTAAGAAACTCAATTGCAAGGCGGTTAAGTTTGTATTGTTACAAGCATCTCCCACGGATGATAGTATAAATAAACTTTTGTGAACTCACAATGACCCCAAACTGAAGCCAACACAATTTCAAATAGCTATTGCCAAGCTGTATCGTATGCTGATAATTTAAGTCAACGTGATCCCTAGACTGTGTAGGGATGTTTTCACGCTATTTAATTCGAACTGTCCTAATGCTTTTTTATGTGTTTTTTACCTTTTCTAATTAAAACTCACATTCATCAAAAAAAAAAAAAGCATATCTAGCTCTAATCCTAGTGTTTTCTAACGTTTTTGTGTGGCTTGGTTGTGTTTATCATAAAATACGCTCAACTGGAGGTGAATGTGAAGCGGCGATTAAAATACGCTAAAATAGAGTTTTACCCATTAAATTATAATTAGTATTAACTAAGATCATCTTTGATATTGATGGTGCAAGTTTCTTTTGTGTTTTGACAATTGAAAAAGTAAGTAGGGCAATACATGCGTTTTTTGAAAGTTTCCAGGACACAATTTAAAGGAGTCCTTCGTTGGGTAAATATCAGAGCTAATATAACCAAAAAATCAGATTCCCTCTCGATAATTGTTTAGCACTGCAAGCATCATCATTATTTATTATTATTATCATCACTGTGTTGGGAATAGGCTAAGAGCTACCTAATGATCTAATACATTTTTTAATTTGCTTGGACTTACACCATTTTATCATGTTTTTCACAGAAATAGTTTTTGATACTCTTTTTTTAATTTTAAAAATTAAGCCTACATTTTAGTCAGCGACTAAAGTTAAACATTTTTACCAGTTGGTCACAAGGCCAACATGTATTTCTTTTAAGATCTATTATATAGCACACATTTGCCAAAATAATGACGCACATTTTTGCATGGAATAGCTTAATTTTTAATAGTTGTACTTTATTATGTATTTACAATCTGGGGGGGGGGGGGGGAGGAGGAGAAAGGGAGTGAGGCGTGTGACTTGAGAGGGAAAGGGTATTATATAGTGTGACTTTTGCATTTTAAATAATGATTACAGTTAATTTAGCCTACATTTTTAAAGAACTGTTTTTGTAAATTGTAATAAATGTATCAATCAATCTTAATAATTTCCCAGTTTTCTGAAATTTTTGTATTACAAAGTGAAAAATTATGTGGCTTTTGATTCTAGTAAATAGTTAAAGGTAGCTTTGTTTTTTTTTTTTGCTTACCATTTTGAATTGAAATAACTAAACTAATGGTTTGGAAAAAGTCCATATGGAAGAAAACTAATTATTTTTGGAAATTTTTGTTGTTGTGACAATGAAAATCTGTAACACCTGAGATGGTAAAGTTTGATTAGGGTGGTTCTTATATTTTCACTGTATACTTACAAAGGAGGCTGTGGAGAAATGGGTGGGTGGGGGTAGATATAGAAGTGTTCCTAGTTTGTAGCTACTTTACTGTTATTGTGACAAAAACAATCTTAGTGTCTTTTTCATTTTAATTCTTCTATTTATAATTGTTTGCCTTTACATTAAATCCTAATGCACAGAACAATTATCATATATAAAAGCCAAGCTGAAATTATTTTCCATATTTCGAAAAAGGCTTTGGTTGTATACTAAGTTAAAGCTACTGAGTGTAACTATACTAATTCATGAGAAAACTGTTGACAACTCCAGTATGATATTTTTATTTTGATAAATATATATAAAATATACAAGACATAATTTAAAATTCATTCCACAATTTTCAACATAATTAATTTAATATAAACATTTATTGATTGTAACATAAATCACAAATTAAAATTAGGAAATAACTACATGAATTGAATATCTAAACAGATCAATGAACTTAAACTGATGTAAAATAAGCAGATAAAAATAAAATAAAGTTTGACCGCAGCAGTAAGTCAAATAATCAACGGGTTTATGTGAAACAGATGTAGAAGGCAGGGAGGGTCATATTGTGACACAGTAGCATGCACAAATTTAACACATCTTTGTCCTGACAATGGTCTAATTACAAAAAGATGATAAGCTGACAAAAGTAAATTAGCTCTATTGATATTGATATTGATACTTAAAGCATGAATTATTGTAGATGATAAAATCTAATTAAAAATTATGAAAATGATTTAGCAGTTGAGTTGATGCTATCATTTTTATAGCAGTAAAAAAACCAAACATATTATGAAAACTGTGATATTGTATCTACCAGATAAAATATTTTGTATGCTTCATCTTGTAACTAAACCTACTATAAAAAAATAAACTATTCATATATTTTGAAACTTCTGAGTTTTAATTATTTTTCTAACATCCACATCCTTAGTCTAAAAAGGAATTAGTAACAGGCATTTGATCATTGTCTACTAATCCCGTGTAGATCAGTCCAGAGGATTATATTGGAATGTTGCACCATCTGTGTGCTGAATATCATTAGCTACAGTAAAATAAGTGGTCTTGTAACTAGGACGGTATGATGTGCAGCAGAGGCTTCTTACTTGAGTTTCCAGTTCCCAGCCTCATGAACTCTGTTCTGCTCAAACAAACCCTCAGGCCTTGATAAGGATAGAACTTATTTTTCTATAGAGAATATCAAGTCTAAAAAGTCTTAATATTAAGAAGTCAGATAACACTTTATAAAGAACATTAATTATTATAGCTGGAGGATATGGCTGACATTTAATGAACTCATTCATATAATATTATTTATCTTGTTGCATGAAACACTCATCTTATGGTGCATTCATTGATAATCCCTAGATCAACTTATAAAGAGTAGTTATATTTTTTATCATAAATATAAATGATTTACCTGAAATTTCATTATTTATACATACATAAAAAAATTAACATATAAAATTTGTCAAGAAACTAAAATTTGAATTTCCAATAATGTAATATTTATGCAGCAATTTATACCTATGAATAAAAAAATAGAGATAAGAAACTGGTTAAGTTGAAAGACAACAAACATAGCTATTGTATATCTACACAACCACTAGTTGAAACTAATTGCTTGCTACTCATTATAGTTTTAAGTTATTTACCTTGTTCCTTTATAAATGATCATCAAACTTTTGTAACTCACTAACAGCATATATTGTCATTGACATTTGAAAATAAATTTATTTTGGATATTGTCAGATCTGTAGTGTAGCTGTTTAATTAAATTGACAGCTAAATATTAAATACTGTTTTTGACTAGCTTTAACTTCAAACTGTTAAATTGCCATACAAGAACTCTTAAAGATACACACAAAGTACAACTTAATTATCAGTGACAATGCTAAGGTTACTTAGTATTTAAAAGCAATTAAAAGAATTTTATTAAGGTAGAAAAACTAATCACCCATGGATGTAATGTTGAAGTCTTGATTACAATTTAGAAAAATAATTGAGTTCATAACTGTGAAAACAAAATTATTTATTTGGTCAAAAATATACAGTGATTAAGAGTAATGTATTTTATGTTATATGCAGTGTAGCTGAATACATTGATTGAAAAAGTAGTTTAACACTCAGTTTAAGTACCGTGCAGGTTCAAAATATACACAAGCAATGATGTAGATATCTAGAAAGGTATGGCACCAAAGAAACATACAAAATGATTGTAAATAATATCATAGTAGTTTCTCTTTCATCACAAAAGTTGTAAGCTATAAACATCAGTGAGTCAAAGGTTGCAAGTCAAATCTCAACTTTGCTTGAGCAGAGAATGTAGGTGAACTTAAAATGACTGTCAAACAAATCAATTGTTTATAAAACATTACTTCAAAGTTAGCTCTTGTTTGGCTGACTAACACGTCTCTAGTATATGTTCCAGTTTTCCTATTCTGGGAGTTCAACTTGTCATCAACATTGTCTCTTAGAGTCTTGCTACTTCATCCTTCTCATTGGGTCTGGTGTCATCTTCCCTGTCTGTTGTAGGGTGTAACTGAATTTCTTCTCTTGGTGATGTTGGTGCTGAAGCAGGATGGAATATCACTTGAGGACTGGTTGGCAAGGAGGGTGGGGGTGGGAAAGCTGTGAACTGGTCTGAAGGAGGGGCCTGGGCAGGGAGTGATGGATACAGTGGAAGGCTGGATGGGAGGTCGTCATCCATCAGGTCATAGGATCCTTGACGCTGATAGCTGCCAGAATCTGAATCAGAGTCAGATGCCAGATCTGAGTCCTCATCCCTCTGTGGGCTCACCAGTGATGTTCTCCTAGCCTGCGATGATGGAAGAGTTAAATGTCTGCCGTCCTCTTTTGGACTAGCAGACTTCTGGATGGGGGCTTGTAAAAAGGCAGGAAAATGTGAACCTAACCTGTCATCAGTTTTTGTAAAGTCCAGATCTTCCTGGCTCTGTGCTCTGCTGGCAGACATCATTGTTGATCTGGCCACACTAGGTGCCCGTGAGTAGGGCATCGGATCGTTGTCTTGGTAGATGCCATTATCTGTGCCTGGCACCAGAGCTCTGTGTTTTTCCTGCCAGCGTCTCTGTTTCAGCTTCTCAACCTTTCTCTTCTTTTCAGCTTCCTGTAGCATAAAAGATAATTTTAGTATTTACAGTTGAGATGGTTCAATGGACAACACATTCATACAATAAATGTATTTTAGACAACTTTATGGAAAGTAAAAGTAAGAACCAAGTCAAACCTCTTCTTTTTGTTTTTTAGCAATGTTGGTCACATGAGTCAGTAAGTCATCTATTTTTGACTCAGTAGAATCTATATCAACTGATGTTAGGCATAGTGCTCTGTTCAAGGGCATGTATTCATAATTTTCTTTTTCCATCTGAAGAAAGAATTTTGTTTAGTCAGCTCTTCATGAAAGAATTTAAAAACAAAAATACAGAATTGTGATAGCTATCAGAAATCACAACATTTAAAAAGAATATTTTATTAAATTGTGTACGACAAAATAAATGGTAACATATAGTTTGAATGTAAAGCTAATTTAATTGACAAACATCTTACCAGTTTAGCCACATAAAGTTCTAGAGCTGTGTAGTCGCTGGCTTTGATATCATCCAAATGTAGAATAAAATACACATAGCCCCACATATTGTGTTCCAAGTTGACATGGTGGTCAAAACCCTGTCAAAAAATAATTATGGATAACAGATCATTTACAACAATGATCTTAAAAGGCTACTTAAAACTACTTATGGCCCATATTATTTGGACATGGGAACAAACTTACTTTTCCATGATGTTCAAAGTCATAACTGTTTCTGCTACAGATAAAACAGGTGTCTTTCATATCTGACTCGGCACGCCACTAAAACATGATGGAAAATAAAATACAGAAGTTTAAACACCTGAACATATAGAGTGCTCTAACTGCAGCAACAGTTAACTTCTATTTTACAACTGTAACCAGACAAGCTGAATGTCCTACCATTAACAACTGTAACCAGACAAGCTGAATGTCCTACCATTAACAACTGTAACCAGACAAGCTGAATGTCCTACCATTAACAACTGTAACCAGACAAGCTGAATGTCCTACCATTAACAACTGTAACCAGACAAGCTGAATGTCCTACCATTAACAACTGTAACCAGACAAGCTGAATGTCCTACCATTAACAACTTGAACAAGACAAGCTGAATGTCCTACCATTAACAACTGTAACCAGACAAGCTGAATGTCCTACCATTAACAACTTGAACCAGACAAGAATGTCCTACCTTGAGATCTCTGAGTTCAGAGAATGTGTCCACAATGATACCAAAGATGATGTTGAGGCCAATGGTGGTGATGAAGATAAAGAAAGACACATGGTAGATAACCATAGGCCAGAAGCTTGCAAATGTTTTATCAGATTGATTATCTTTTAGCTCCTAAAATAAAACATCACATACTTAGTAACCATTCAGTGTATATATATATCTATTTATTTAACATAGCTCATTTGTCAAGGTTTGAAGCTATACTAATGAATGAACAGCACAAGTCAAACTTGCTCTCAAAAGTTACATGTGTGTACAGACAATCCAGCACAAACCTCAAACATGTCACCAATGAGACCGTATCTTACAACAGTGACTGTGCACTGCCATAGAGTGGAGCAGTACATTATACTCTCATTTTTAAAGTAAACCCTCAAGAGGGCAAACCCAATCAGTGTGTAGATGTAGATGACAATAAGTCCAAGGACAGCAACCCACAAGAGAGACATGCCTGTAAAGAGAGATTACTCTGGTTCATTTTGTGAGATCTATTTGTAATGTTTGAATTAACATAACAAGCCAATTAATACCAACCATTTTGAGTAACTGCCTTGATCACTCCTCCCAAAAGTTGATTGTTATTGACAATGTTCAGAAGATGGAAAGCAAAAAAGTAGCCATGAAACAATATACCAGCTACCGACATGCCCAAAAATATCTAGAGGAAAAAAAATCATACTGATATACAAGATCAGTAGACACATTTTTAAAGCCATCTTTTGCATTTTATTATAATTTTAACAGCAGAATAAGAAGATAATAACTTCAACTAGATTTTAAAAAATTAAAATGCTACATAAAATGAATTGAAAATCTTTAATTTCAAGATGCATTCAACACTTTTCCTTATTTAAAAGACTGTAAAATATTTAAAAGTTGACTGGAATATTAGACTTGTGGGACCAGTGTTGGCCTGATTAAGATATAAAAAATGTAGATTTGGTAGAATTATATTTTGTGTACAGCCACTACCTTGCGCTAATGTCATCAAAAGTTTTGTCTAGAAATTACAAAAACTGTAGAGCAAAATTTAATAAAAAAACTGCAGAGAAAAATTTAATACAAAAAACTGCAATGCAAAATAAAGGCAGACCTTTAGATGGCTTCCATGATGTGTTGCACTTTATTGTTCTAGATTAAATCACCCCTTGTGTTGCTCTATACTAAAGATGACCCCCCCCCCCATCCAGACAGACACCAAAAAAAAATGACAGAAAGGCGCAACATATGTCCCACAACATATGGGCCTTTTACAAATTGGTTTATGACTTATTGGCTCTGACAATATGGCTAAAAAAGGTAGCTCATAAATAAGAAACTTGCTTTAATGTGCAAAAGGAGGCTAGAGTATAGAGGATGCTTAATTTAGGCCTACTGCAAGTTGAAAGAGTTAAAGTTTAGGCCTACTGCTAGAGTTTAATTAAACATAAATTGCTCAAATAGCAAAATTTGCTGTCACTAACCAAATAATAAAAAGTTGTGAAGCTAAAAAATCTTGTGTTCAACTTGGACGGTGGTTCAGCTTCTTTGGTCTCATCAGCATCGTTGTCAGACTTGGATTTCCCACACAAATGGCTGAAAATTATGTTTTTTTAGACAGCACATTTTTCACCAAAAACTCTAAATTAGGAGTAAGATTAATAATATTGTTTAAATGATGAAGTTGTTTCAGTAAGACTTACAGAAACCAGTTTTTAATCTCCACAGGCCTTGGAAACTTTGGATGGTAGGATAAAAAGTAGCTGATGAGTACAAACAGAGAACATAGGATGTGTACACCTCCTAAGGCCCAGATTGTGATTTGATACTCATTGTCACTGAGCTTGTCTAGTTTTGGCATAGGACTGGAATCAAGGAGCATCATTATTAATGTTTATATATATATATATATATATATATATATATATATATCCACCACACCACACATATGCCATTCATCCATCCACATGAAGCTAAAGCTAAACTAATTCAAATTTATCTGACTATATATTATATAGTCTAATCTGCCTAAATCTATTCTATCTAATCTCTCTATCAATTAATCAATCAAACATTAAATCTATTTGTCAATCAATATCAATCTACTTACCTATCTAACTATTTACATGCCTATCCTTATAACATATATGTATGAGTTTAAAGAATAAAATATATATTTGCATATGGCATTTTTTGTGATATTATATATGCTAGTATTTTCTACAGTAAACCAAGATGTTGTTATATAAGGTCGTTTCATGTCTTTACAAGCTAGTCAAGAGTGTCAGCAGATGATTGACCTTTTCTTTAGGCTTTTGAAGTTTTTTTTAAATCATAATTTGTCATAAACATTACAAATACTTACTCAAAGACACCAGGACAAAATTCTTTAGCACTTTCATTTTTATAACTACAGTCTTCCATTATAGATTTGGCATCCCAGGTCACCAACATAATGATGTTTATTGTCAAACTTAAGACAATAGCCCCATAGTTCCACAACAACCTGAAACATGACTGGGGCATTACTTATTATATAACAAAATACTGGGACTTAAACCTTAAGTTGGTTTACAATAGTCAGGTAGTGTTTAGCTTTTTTATGCTAGATATAAAAGAAATAATTTTCTCTTTAATTTGCTGCTTATATTACCATCCTTTAGTAAAAAATTTAGAAATAGGGTGGTCCAAAATTTTGCGTTGATATGTTATGTCTCTCATGATATCTCGTGTCCAGCCCATCAGGTCTCTGATTTTGTTGCTGGGGGATGTCCTATCAACATTCCACTTGAGTTTTTCTTTCACCTCATCTCGCAGAACACTCTAGAAACATCACAGATCTTGTTCATTCTTTTTTCCCTCATACATTTACCACAAAGTTTATTCATTAATAATGTGAACAGAATTCAATCAACTTTTAAAAGTAAAGTTTTAAAAACTATTTTTATAAAAAGGTTTTAAAAGTTTTTCTATTTTAAGATAAAATATCCTACCTTGTTCTTGACCCGAAAATTTACTTTTTGTAAAATATCTTCTTTAACAATCTCAATTGACAAACAATTTTTTTTGTAGTATTCAAAAGCCTTGACGTTTTCAGGTGTACACTTTAAAGCTATAAAATGTAAGCAAAATAAATCTATAACTCTAATTTAAAGTGAAAGTAGCCCTACTATAAATTATAAAAAAAATATTCTCAGTTTATCAAAGAATTCTGGCTTAAAGTTAAAATGAGAGTAGCTTACTGTCACTCAGGTGAGGGTCTATGTCAAACATTCTGGCAAGAATCAGGTAATATGTGAAACCCACATCTATGACACTTTCTCTCAGAGCACTTTTCTTTTTGCCTTTCTGTGGGAGAAATGTTGACAAAGATCAATCAAAGGAGCACTAGTTGTCTTAGATGTTTAATACATAATGTTCTTAACACTTTTAAAATTAATCATGGTTTTTTTTGCCACTGATTTTTGTGACCAAAGAACCCTGATTAAAAAAACAGCTTTAAATGAGAGTGTATTCCTATAAATTAATTTTTAAGACAAATGGTACCACAACACCCTGTAGAATGGAGCCACCAAATGCTGCAATGGACTTGGCAGACTGCAAGTAGCTTCCACCTAAGCCCAGGGTTGGGGAGTTTTCTCTCTTCTCTGTTTGGTGCCACTCATAGCAGGATGTCATACAGCGATACACAGCATCTTTATCCAGTGCATCTTTTACCTCCTAGAAAACATTGGATTCCTTTAAAAATACCCAAACTAAGTCTAAGTAAAACTGATGTTGTAAATAAAGTGTTATATGGCAAGTGGGACCCATATAAAGAAAGATGAATTACCTTAGCCACCTGTGATGCCTGAGGTCCATTTTCTTCTGTGAGAGAAATGATGAGGGAGCCAATAGTCTGCTGAAGCTCAACTACCTAAGACGTAAAAAACAAAATGTACCTAGAATAGGTTCAACAATCACTGATTGCACAGCCTATGTAGTGTTGTTAATAGACACTGCCAGCAGAAATATGCTGTTCACTTATTCAAATTTCTCTTGGTAAATCATGATTTTTTGTAACTAAGAAATAAACAAATGTGTTATTTACCTTGTCAATGGAACAATCTCCAATCTCACCAGCTCGCAATATGAAGTTTATATAGTCAATTACTTTCATATCATACACCACAACACGATTCTCTTGATTGCCCTAAAATTATAAGTTGTTGGAATTATTATTTTTTGTAAGGCCAAGTTCTATTAAAACATACATGGCTCTCTTGTTTTGAAAAGCTCAGAATTAAATAGTAAATTTATTCTTCAAAATGCAACACAGATTAAAGTAGAGAATTTTTTTCTTCAAAATGTTATCCAGGTTAAAATGTTATCTAGATTAAAATGTTAAACAGATTAAAATGTTATCCAGATTACTGAGATTAAAGCCACTTACTGAGCAGAACTCATTGAGTGTGTGAAAGAGCTGTATGACAAGATCTATAGTGGTAGTGTTGATTGTGGTGTAGACAACATTGACGAACTGGGCAGTCTCTGCCACAATACTGAAAGACTTGACATTATCTGGCTGTTCACGCAAGTAATTCTGAGAATAGAAAACATGTTAAAAGAAACAATAGACGAGATGAGGAAAAACAAATTTCAAGATTTCCTATTGATCTGTATTGACATACCTGCAGCCCTGCATGTTGACCATCACAAATCCTGGCTAAAAGCTTGAGAACTAATTCAATGTAGCCATCATCTTTGTATTCCAGCATGTCTTTCACTCCGTCATCTAAAGCCTCTGTCAGTGAAAGTGACATGTGGTGAAGGTCCTGAAAATTTTAATTACTCATTTTAAGCTCATTAAGAGAAAAGATTTTTAATCTAGGATTATTCAACATTTCAAATTTTTAAATTATTTGACACATTAGACAGTGTGTATAAATGAAGAAAGGAGTGGAGATTTAAAAATTCTGTAGTATTAAATGATTGAAACTAAATAAAAGAAGTAGAATTCCACTCAAAGTTTGATTAGCAAACTGAAGTTTTACTTGAACTGTTTAAACATTAGTAATACACAACATCTTTTTTAAAATAATGTGATTTTAATTTGATTTATCTCAATACAACTACATATTAAGCATGCAGTTTTGAAGCATCAATAAATAATCATAAATTAAAACAAGCATAACTGTGTATAAAAATCACAGGATATTAACTTTTGTATTTTTAGTCACACATACAAATTTTATCACTATTTGAATTATTTTTTTAAAATAATGAAGTGTGGAAAATGTTGAGAAATTAATGTTAGTCCTGTGCTGACACAGAATGCTACATGATTTTTACACAGCTGATAGAACATTAATTTTATCCAACACTGATATATACTGCTTCTACGATTAGAGATATTTTAAGGGGTTATTATTTCTTTTATTACAACATCAATGTAGTTGATATTAGTAATATTTTAGTTAAGAAAATAAAATGGAAAAATTAGTAGGCCAACTAGTCTATAATGTTACTTCTTGAAACTTTTGTTCAATCCCCTCTTAATTAATAAAATATCAATTACAATTTATCAGGTAAAATAATAAACATGTAAAAACAATTTGATTTTTAAAAATTTCATTCACAGCATATGGTTGAATATATTTTGTCATTTAAAAAAATATTTAATTACTAGTTAAAAAATAATACTCAACTTTAAATTTATTTAAGAGCTTAATATTTTGTTCTTAAATATAATGCTGAAATTCTGTGTTTATAAAGCATTAAGTGATATTTTCTTTATACTTGCCTTTCTTTTAACACTTTCAAGTGCTGCCATCTGCAGTTAGTAAAACGGCTTGTATTAAAAGAAAATCTCTTAAAAATTTACCAAAAACACTGATACTAATAATTAAACTGCCAAAATTGTTTCATTACATGATAGCTTATAAACATCGAATGAGAACATTCAAATTAACCCCAGGTTCTGTGTAAAACTACAACCTCACACTTGATATGGATACTGCTTGTTAGTGTGCTTTAAATCTCAAAAGAATAATGCATAAACTGGTCCTAGAAAAATTTAGTTTCATCTAAATGACAAAGATGTTAAATGGCAAGTGTTAAATGAAAAAAAATGGAAGATATATTGGCCTCTCCATTGATGCTAAATTTAACTTATTTATTGAGAAGACAATGCACTATTTAAAAGTAAATAGTAGTGACTGCTTTAAATGATAATAGAAAAACAAGATACTTAACTTATTAATTTTTTTTAGCACATTGTGAACAGTAACTAAACAAAAATGTGCGACTAACACAACCAAATGTATGCTTTTTTCTTAATACTTCATTTTATGTAAGAAAAATAAAAACCAATGGTGCAAGACATGTACATAGTAACTACTGTACAATCAAATGAGTAATAGGTTTGGTACCATTCCCAGAATACAATGCATAGAACACAATATGAAAGTGACAAACCAAGTGCACATTAAATGTATATTCATATGTGATGCATGCATAATTCTAATAGCAATTAGCGAATGCCAATTCTCATGCAAAATAGTTTCATGTACAGTTTCTCAAAAGTTTCAGAGAAAATTGCAAGTAAACATTTGAGTATCCTTTGCATGACAATTATCTAGGTTAACAATCAGTAGCACATAAAAACATAAGCTAAACAAAAAGAAAACAGAAAAAAATTGTTTTCTTCACATTTTATTTATTAAAAACTAGACTTAGAGATGATTATTATTATTATTTAATGTTATTTCAAACTGCTTACAATTTTTTAAGAAAAAAAAAGATTAATAATGAAAAACACGAATAAATGTGAACACAAGGGTACCATAAATGAAAGAAACTTGGAGAAGTTATTGCTATATTTATTATATGTTGTTATTATTTGGAGAAATTTTAAATATTCTGTGTTGCTAATGCCTGGAGAAGTTATTGCTATATTTAAAATATTCTCAGAGTTGTAGTGACCCATTCTGGCACTCGGGGTGAATTATCAATTTCTCGCGCCCACTGCCCCCATTTATATTCAAGGTAGCAAAAAAGCGCCCCTCCCTTACCAGTTATTTCGGTGTCAAACAACTGATGAATAAGATGTTAAATCAGTCTGTAAAGCCATGTATTTCCTCAACTTTGATTGTTTAGTAATGCACCTCAGAATGGGTTTTAATTTTCTAACCCATTTGGCACCCCCTAGGGATCTCAGCCTGGGGCAGCCACACCACCCTCCTTAATTAGCTACGCCTCTGTTACTATCTGAATTAGATTCACTAATTTTTACAAAACTTTTACTGTTTAACTTGAGTGAAGTTGTTGTAATAGACCTAAGCAGTATTACTTCATGACATAGATGTTGGTAAAAAAAGTTTCACCCTTAGAAGCAACTAGTTCTGTAGAAAGCTAGGACTGGTCAGTTTACCAGCATCAGTGTTTATCTATCTAGAAAATCATGTGGGCAGGTATTAAAAGAGACATTGGAGTATGTTTTAGTATCAAAGACCAGGTCACAAAGGTTCAAAGGGCTTTGCTTTATTTTAATAATTCACAAGGCACTATTACAGTGAAGTAGTATGTAAGAGAAAGTACAATCAAACTAATTAGCAAAGCTTCACTAAAAAATGCTCCAGAATGCAATCTAAACTTGCAGCTGACAAAAAAATGCATCAAGCATTTCCAATAAAGTAACATTCCATTAAAACATAGAAAGAGTAAATGTTAGAAAGTTGAGAAAATGGGCAAGCTAAAAATCATGCAGGTCACATGTTGAATAAGCAGACGCGTGAGTGCAATGGTGTCTGCTGGCTGTGAACAGCTAGCTGACCATCTTACCTCAGCATTGACAAGAACTTCTTTCATTTCAATATCAGATCTGCCACATTCAATCAGAGCCTCAGTATCTTTAGGAATTCCATTGATATCCTTTTTTTTTCTAGGTGAGGATGATGGCCCACCAGCAGCCTCTTTGCTGTTTTTCTCAGACTTTTTCTTCCTGGAAAATCTTTTCTTCTGTTTCTCAGGGGTCTCTAATGCACGTGCCAGCATCCTCTTGTTACATCAACATTGAGCAATGGAGTTTTAGATTAGCAATGTTGCTTTTGTTTTATTCATTTCAAACATGAATGAATTCTTCAACTAGGGTAGTAGACCATTTCATATGCAACTGACCAGTTTTGTATTTTTTCTTTAGTAGAAGATACATGTTTCCAATGCAAAGCTTATTTGCACTATTTTAATTTTGGAAAGACATTTTAAGAAATTTTGTCATAGTTATTCAGTGCAGAGTAGGTGTCTTTTGAGACAGGTTACTTAGATGAAAAATTGACTTGGCATTAAAAATTAGCCTAGAGTAGTAATCTTTGTGAAGAAATATTTATGTTGAACTCCATTTTTAGAGGTTTAGAAAATCATTGTATATTATTGATATGAAGATTGAGAAACATGTTCCTTTTAAAATCAGGTAACATATACTATTAAATACCAAAGCTTCAATAAAAATGATGTTACAATAAAATTTAAATATTTTAATATGCTCCCGAATTTTATTTTTTAAATAAAAGTTAATAAGCAAAATTATACTTCAAGAGTAAAGAAATTCTCCTATTTAGAGTTTTATTAATAATGGTCTGAAAATGATTTTTAAACTTAAGTTTTTGTGAACTGGCAGATACAAAATATTATGTGCAGGGTGTGAATTAGGTGTAAAAGCAAATATAAATTGTTCAAAAAGGGTGGTTGACATTGTTACTAACTGATATGATTGCAGACTTTATTTACTGGTTCTAATGTATAAAGTAAACCCCAGTGAAACAAACAACTTTACAAGCATCAAAGATTTTTAAAATTACATGCAAATAGATAGTTCACTGTAATATAACCACAAATATTCACTTAACATTCCCACTTTTCAACAAATTTAAGTATCAAATTTTTATGGAGTTTGTTTTAAAATTAAAACAGAGCTTCAAAAATTTATATGATGATACAAAACTAAAGGTAAAAAAAAGTATAAGAAACTTTGTTCATTCAACAGGTCATCAAGGTTTAGTTAGTTTCATGTTTATTCATAATTTTATTCATCCTCATACATTATTAATCCTTTCGTTTATATATTTTCTGAGAACAAAAAAAAAAAATCAATAAAATTACTTACCCAGCCAGCCAGTTTTTCAGTTTTCATCTTTTGTTCAAAAAGTTGGATTTGCTGTCATTAAAAATAAATATTTGTTTATTAACTGACCAATCAAAAACTACTTTTAAAAACAAAAAAGCATTTTAATAAATATATTTTCTTGAGATAAAAACAGCATGGCTTGTTAGTAAACTGACTCGCCTGCAGTGCTTGTTTTTCCAAAGTCATAGAAGTGCTTGTAAAGTTGCAGTTACCAAGAGCCTCTTTCTTTCTTGCCTCATGCTGAGCAAGGAGACTTCGCCTGTATAAAATTTAAATTCAATTATTTATCACAGTAAATTGCCATTTGAAACTAATTATTTAGAATTGTTTCAGAATTTGAAGGTTGTATATTAAATGTTTTGTACACTCAAGATATATAAGCTTTACAATTTCTGTTGTTAACATCTTGAATAATTTTATTAGTTTATATTTAATTTAAAACAACAAAAATAACAAATATAGAAATATTTTGTATTACCATGATAAAAACATTAAAACAAACAATACAATTACAAAGAAATTCAACAAAATCTAGTATTGAAACACAATGTTTCTGAGTTACGACACAATTTGCAGCAGGACTCAGCAGAAGCCACAAATATATTTGAACTTCACAACTTCAAATTTATACAACAAAATGGGACAAAATTTTATACAAATATCAGACCAATAAAGTATATAAAAAAACTGAGCATTGCTTAACCAATGCCCCTTTTTAAAAATAAAACAGCTGCACTAAACTAAGCTGGGGAACAGTGAAACAGATCATGCACTTTGACAAAGGATCAAAGATATGAATTGCTGTGTAAAAATGTGCTCTAGTATTGGGGGCTGTGTGACATGCATAGAGTTGTCTGGTAATTAAAAAGTCAAACTATAGTAGGTATTTCCTTGTTGTACAACAGTATATTTAGAAACATTAACTTTATCAAGAGAGGTATAACAGATCTAAAAACGTTAATTGTTTTCTACAGGTATATTTCTTCTAAACAAAATATTTGGTAACACCATTGTGTTCCCTTTCCATCCAAGCAAGAGCAATATTTCTGTCCCTACTTAGCTGTTTCCTCACCTGAACTGACAGCTGGATAGAATTTGTTTTTGAAAAACAAAATTAAGTATATATCTTGCAAATGAAAAATAAATCTAGATAAAGATAAATAAGTAACAGCAATTTGTTGAGGACAAAACTGTTAAAATGTGTATAACAATCAAATAAAATGTGTACAACAAACATATTAGTAAAATGTAAAAACAACACAAAATGTCCGTGCTGTTTTACCCAGTCTTGTTCTTTCTGCATTTCTTCAAAATCAGAGTTCTAGATAGGTAGGGTAAGTATTTGATAAAAAAAAGTTGGTATAAACAAAAAGGAACAAATAAATTTCAAGTTTTATAAATTTCAACTCCGCAAAAAGCCATTGCCCGAAGCAACCAAAGGCAGTAAAACCAAGACACCAATAAAATATATACTGTATACGCTCATTTTAAAGTTGAACTCTTTTTAAGCCAATTTTTCTGTCTGAAAAAAGAAGATATCTCCCATGTATGACAAGCCCATGGGCATGTCCATAAATGACAGCACATTCTTATGGACTTTAGGTGTGGGGGGTGAAGCTGTTGATTCAAACTGGGTGTAAATAAAGGGTTAAACTGTGTTCCATGTCTATCAAATCTCAGGAATTGTCTAAGCAATTATGGCAAAGCTGAGTTTCCTGTTTTAGGTTGGCTTCTTTTTTCTAAACAAAGTTATTGAAGTCAGCTAAACATATTAATATGCCTATTCTTGCTCCTAAAGTTGACTTAAAAGATACAGTATATAGGTCATTATTCTACTCCCCAAAAAGTTGGATAAAGTGACGAATTAATTACTTACCATTTATTTAATTGTAGACTAAGAAATTAGTTTAATAAGTTTTGCTTCATCAATAAAGCTACATTCCTTTAACTAATAAAAAATCTGTCAAACATAGCAAAATGAGAGCTACTGACAGTGCTTTAAAATAGTACATTTTAAAGCAAATCCTCTAAATAGAGAAAGACTTTTCATATGATCCTTGCCTTGATTTTCGCAAAAATAGTTAACAATCATTGCTGATTAAAGAATAAAAACAAAACGCAATTAAGTGCACCTAACAAACTAAATATATGTAAAGTGGCAGCAGAGGCGTAGCGAGGGGGGGGGGGTGTGGACCGCACCGGGTGACACCATTTAGGGGGGTGACACCAAGGCAAAAAATAGCAAAATAGGGGGGGAGGGAAAGGGGGTGCAAATGGAAAGTTTGTCCCCGGGAAGGGTCGCTACGCCTCTGGGGGTGACACCATTAGGTGCTGCACCAGGTGACACCCGACTTCGCTATGCCACTGAGTGGCAGTATACTATAGTAATTTTAAAAAAATTCATAAAATGAATATTTTTGGAGTATCTAAAGCAGTTTCATATTGATAATAAACAAAAATATTGAACATTAGAGAACTGGCCAGTTTAAAAACATCCAATGATTCTGAAATACTCAAAAGAATGGTAGTTTACTGCTGATCATCTGTCAACTCTATCTTAGTTTGCTAAAACACAAAAGGACCAATAAAGAACAGGTAGCTGTAACAAAGAAAATGGTGGCAATAGTTCATGTGAAATGTTTTTCTAGTTCCAGATATTTCAAGTTGTACAGTTAGAGCTGAACCAATTGACCAGCCAACTGAGCCAATTGGTATGTATGTGATGTAAGCATTAGCTTACAAATTTCAGATGAATGTGATGTAAGCATTAGCTTACAAATTTCAGATGTATGTGATGTAAGCATTAGCTTACAAATTTCAGATGTAAGTGATGTAGGCTGTAGCTTACATTGGATATTTCAGATGTAAGAATGTGATTTAGAATGTTCCTTACACAGGATATTTCAGATGTAGGAATGTGGTGTAGAATTTTCCTTACAATGGATATTTCATTGTAAAATAAAAATTGTTAAAATTGTTAATATCACTTTAAAAGAAGCAGTCAGCTAAAGTATCATATCATGATTGTATTTTTAAATAATCTTCTAATATGAGTTGTTTAATTATGAGAAGTATCACATAGAGTTGAACTTACTTTTCTTTGATGGCGTTTGTTGACACCTGCATACGGTCTCTTACAGCCATAAAGAAAACTTCCTCTCTTGTGGACAGGAAATAATCCAACATAGATCTCTGAGAACCAAATAGAAAAGTGTTTTTTAGGTAAAGTTAAATATAGCCTACTCTGATATTGGGCAGGGAATAATCCAACATAGATCCCTTTCAAATAGATTACAGTGTATTTAATATTTAAGGATGTATAGCATAGACTTGAGAATGATAGGTCTACTTATCAATTGTATTGTTAATTTTTAAAAAGCCATTACCTGCACCTCCCTGTTAGCATTGAAGAGCATGAGACATATAAATGCTAAAACCTCCCTAGCAATGCTATCACTTCTTCTAGCAAGATGTGGAAGGACTTTAGTGATAACACTATGCTGGTTCAAAGCACACTGAACTTCCCTAATTCGATTGATTTGCCTGGGGGAAATCAAGTAAATGTGTGTGGTAAATCATATTTTATGTGGGAAAAAATTTAAGTGTGTAATATAGCAGAACACATGTTAAAAGCTTAATAAAAAAAATGCAATGTGTTGTACAAACTTCTTTATCTTGGATTCAGATGCTCTCAATGCCCAGTCTTCTGGTAATTTTCTCTCCTCATTGTGAATGAGAGCTCTAAGTATTTGTAAGCATCTGACATCTAGCTGCTCTGATGTTGGTTGACTTGGTCTTGGTTGTTTACATTGTACAGCTGAAATGCTGCAATGTTTATAAATAAATTGTTTGAATCATATGCTTAAACTAGCTTTCTAAACATGTGTATGAGAAAATTGATTTATTTAATTGGCACATATCTTTCTACACAGCCAAATGTGTGGTTGCACTAGTGGTCTATATAAATTTACACAGAAAGAAAAAACCACGTACGCCATTTGTTCTAATAAAATAGATGCTCTTGCAAATTTCTTTGCAGGTTTTTTTTCATGAGGGTCTATAAAACAACGTAACAGTTTCTGGAATTCTTCCCCCAGAGGCAATTCTTCATTGCTGCCAGCTACAATGTATTCTGTTGTTTGTTGAGAGAAAAGTGCATGTGTTATTGAATTGATAAAGCAGCCTTTGCTAATACAGAAAGGACAAAGTATAATTTCAATATCTGCCTAGATTTGTAAAGTAGCACATTTTTAATTATCTATTTTTGCACCTACCTCGTTTGGATTTGATCTTCAACTGTGCTTGTACTGTATTGTGACCACTATGAACTTGACTACAGTTGTGGGTGAAATTATGAAACTTGGCATTTAGCTCTAGCTCAGAAGCATAATATTCCATATTCCCCTGAAATTTAGATCATCATTCATAAGATAATGCTGACATAAAATTTGTCTCACATTTTTAATATTTCTTCTAAAATATGAAAAGTGATTGATTGATTTTAAAAATTGTTGACAAGTACTTTTGAAATTATAGATTGAACATGCTGAAATGTTTATATTCAATAATTTGAATCATCATGATACAAATTTATTTTGTATCTCTTGTGACTTACTCTGCGAACTGCTGTCGTCATGTCAGAAAATTTCATGTCAGCTGTTAACCTTTCAAGAACTCCAACCAGCAGCTGAAAAAACATGGCTCACTATAACTCAACAAGTAAGGTATGCACATGTTGATATACACAGGGGCCAGAAATGTGTCTTATCAAAGTGTATTTACCATTTTTTTTGTTGTTTTAAAGTTTTGAAACAAGTACAGACATCATAGCCTAGATAATGTAACTATTAATCAATTACTAAAATTACTAAGTTATTATCCTCTCTAGACCTATAAATGAGTTTAAATAATTTGAGCTCTACAAGGAACACATTTACCCATTTTTATTTAGATGAAATGTATTTTTTCTTTTGTTTTTATCAAAATCTCGATTACATTATTGATATATTAAAAATATATTTATACATTTTTTTAAAAAGTGCATACATAGGTGTATATATATATATATATATATATATATATATATATATATATATATATATATATATATATATATATATATATATATATATATATATATATTTGTTATTTTCTTTACACACGCACACATTCTAAATTCTGTCTAAGCCATTGAATAATGACATCCTTTTATTTATGAAAACTTTAATTTCCAATAGAAGACTATAACAATAATTATGTATAGGGTTGATGGTTCAGAAGAATTTTGTTTTAAAAGGCAAAGTCTCAGAGAAATAGTGATCTCCAGAAGGGGGTACTTTTGGCCTATAAAGCCAAGTATGTATGTATTCTCTTAAGCTGTGCTACTACAAAGATAGCAGGCATTATAAAATTCCTGAAAAATTACTTTTTTATTCCTACTTATGGGAAGAGTATTTTGCAAATGAGAAGGGATCAAATTTTCTTACTTTGATAGTTTTTAATAATGTCTCCTATCATGTTACAAATTTTTAAAGAATATCTTGTATATTTTATTAGCCACAAAAATGAGATAAAATCAACATTTCGGTATGAACAAAAAACCAACAATACTTTAAAATAATAAGTAATTAACGAGAAATTAAGATTGACACTGGTTATACTTACAGTTTTTGAATTTGTTGACACAGATAATACTGTTGAGAGAGCAGTTACTGCATTTTTCAGGTGGGTTGGTGACTTTAGGTGAGATCCAAGTTGATTAAAAAATGCCTAGGCAAAATACATGAGACAGATTTATAAAAAAAAACATTATGGTTAAATCTTATGTTTCTCTTAATGGTGTTGTTGAATGTTTTTTTTCTGTTTGGTGCTGATAAATGCTGTTTCTTTTTAGGTGTTGTTGTATAATGATTTTTTTAAGGAAAACAACTTACAATAAGTGAACCTGAAAGGTTATCTGTTGTAGATACTTCATCAGGATAAATATCTTTATCAGGTAAGTAGAAGACTGTATAAAACATCTGAGGAAGGTGAACTCAGTTTGTTATAAGATAAAAACTAGAATTATGTTGGGCTTTCACAGCATCTTGGAGAGTAAAATAAGTTTAAAGCAAGTGCAAGAGATTATGTCAGCTTACATGTAAAAAAGGCAAGACTCCATCAAGGATAAAAAACAGCTTGTTGTGCATCACAGATTTAGTGTCATGATTTTCAGCAACTACACTATAAAAAAATTAATTGCATGCAAATTTCAATTTTGTTATTTAAGGAAAATATAATATTTTAACATATTACTAAAAGTAAAAATTTTATCAAATTATTAAAATGTGTACATTGTCTTTATAAGAATAATGTAATGTAAATGTTTGTGTGAGACTGACTGTGTGTAACCCTGACACCTACCTGGCAGGTGGAGAAGACTTGAGAAGCTGGGAGACTTTATCAGAATACTGAACAAAAAACTCTGTCAGCTGATTCACGTCACTGACTATAAAAGTCAGGAAGTCCCATAGCAGTCTGGGAGATATCAAGTAAAGAATAATTTATTTAGTGTCTGCATTGCAAGGGTCGAAAAATATTACACAATTTGTATTGCATTCTATTTTATAAAATATCTATTATTTTATTGTACTGAAAATGTTAACACAGATTAACACATGAAATTCCAGATCCAAAAAAGAGAACAAAGATTAGCTCTATGCTAATGTTGTTTTGTCATTGCTATTGGACTTTTAGCTTGACTGACTTACTTATCATGTTGCAGATCAGAGACACCACTTTCCAAAAGGCCATTTGATGCCTTCATGTACACCCACATCAAGAATTTGATGAATGGAAGCTTTAGAATATTATCAACTCCAGTGTGATTTAATATCCACAAGATATCCTCAGATGGCAAGATGGTTTGACATAAGGATTCAATGAACTTATTTTCTCCCTATTTTTGATAAAATAAAATTGTAGGTTGATATATCTATATTTTGAAAATTATATATTCGACAAACACATCACTTTTCTTAATGATAAGTAAACAATGGCATTTAGAAGTGAAAATAGAAATAGTTTCAAACTTAGTTATAGCATGAATTTGTAAGAACTAGGTAAATTTAAAGTAGTTCCACCCAAATATTCATTTTCATCAAGTCAGTACTGCTTAAACTAACCTCAGCACAAGTTGCCAGCAAATCAACAAGGCTGATAAAATAGGTCAAGTGGCCAGGATCTGTCTGATTTGTCAAAACTGTATCCCTAAAATTAAAAAAAAAGTTATACAATGTTAAAAAAATGTATTTTTTAAAATGGCTATTAGACTGCTGAATATGTATGAAAAGATCCTGCTGTAAAAAATTATCAGTTAAGTAGCAAGACACCCTATAACACCAACCTTTGCTCTCTAGACTGATCAAGCACATATGCAGACTTTTTAAATGTTTGCATGATATACTTCATAACAAGAGCTTGATTCCTCTTGATTGTTAAATCCAAACTTTCAACCTAGTAAGAAGATATTTATATTCTACAGGATATCAATTACTAGAAATTTGACAACTATGATCATAATTAGAACTATAACCAATGGAACTGATAGGCTATCAGCTTAAACGCATACCTTGACTAATGTTTTAAGTAAGTCTAGAAACTCTGGAGCACTGTGTTGACACTCAGCAGCCAACATCACAATTCTCTGGATCTGACGGGGTTGCACTTTCAGACAAATACTCTGGTTATCTGTGAATACCTAAACACAAGACATCACACTAAATTATCTGTGAATAACCTTAACACAACATTACACTAAGTTATCTGTGAATACCTAAACACAAAACATTACATTAAATTATCTGTGAATATCTAAAAACTAAACATCAGACAAAATTATCTGTGAATACCTAAAAACAAAACATCACACTTAGTTATCTGCCAATACCTAAACACAAAATTATTCATCAAAATTTGTAGTAAAAGCAAAAAAATTTGAAATTGTAAATATAAATCATACACACCTCTTTTAGAGCTAGAGCTAACTCTGATCTCACAATAGTGACATCCAAAAGTTTATCGAGATTTCTGAATATCTGATCTTGTACCTCATGGTTTTCTCGAATCAATAATGTCAGAAGGCTAAGTGTTTTCTTAAAAACTTTCTCCATACCACTGTATTGCTCCTATAATTATATCAAAGTATGAGCAAATGTTAGTAGCATTGGGTTAAATCATTCTTATTTCATAATTTAAGAAAGCAGATGAACAGCACGTACTTTGAGCAATCTTGAATCAATTTCTTGTGAAAGAATATCTAGAACTATATTTAGTATGCCTGAAAAGAAGCATCAAATCTTTTTACCACATTGTAAGACTTCCTTGAAAAAAATCAATTTATTTTGTTTAATTTTACAGTTGTGTAAGTTTTTATAAAAATGTTTTAGTAATATAATTACCATGACTAATCATAATGTTTTGGTTCATAGGGTGCGGTTCTTCTGGTGTCTTGGGCAGATAGCAAAACCTTTAATTAAAAGATATATAAATATTCAGCAATATTTGCTAAAAGGGGATCTATTCAGCAAAATTCTAAATGTACTAAGTAAGCATGTTTCAACTTATTACTTTAGATAAAAAAACTTACTCGCAGAGTTCATCTAAGACTTCACATATCAAAGCCACTTGCTGATCATTTAGTTTTGATCTAGCTAAGCGACGAAGTGTTGGTAAACTTCTTTGTACTTCTCGATGAACACGGGCAGAGTCATGGGTCAAGAGAATCTAAATTATGTATTTTTTATGGTTTTTATTTCCTTTATTTAAAAACTGTTAAAAAAATGTGACTGAATTTTAAATCCGTATTTATTCTTTAAAAAAATCTTTGCTTACATGTGGCAAGAAAGCGTACTTTAGTGTAAAGTTGTTTAATAAAAAATTTGTGAGGTCAGGAAACCTTTTAGAGAATTCTATCAATCACGTTTTTATATATAATACATGGATTCATATCAATAATATAATTACAACTATCTTCATTAGGCTGAAACATCTAACACCTGTTAGGAAATGTTTACATAGAAATTGAATTGAGGACTGTCTTATTCAGTCAAAAACTGTGAAAAGATTAGTAGCAGTGCAGTAGAATAATGTGATGAGTAACATGATTTAATTCTGTGACTAAAATCTCATACTTGTGCTCTCCTTGCTAGTGTAAACATGTCCATTTGCGATGAGTACAGCTTGTTTAGTATGTCTAAGGACTTGACAACCATTTGCTCATATTTGTACTGGGACAGATCCTAAAAAATGTAATTCCATGTTTAATAGCCTACATTCAGTTTTAATTTAAAAATAAAATTGTGCACAGAAGCGCAGTGTTATTAAAAATTGTTAAACAAGATGGAAATGTTAAACAAGATGGAAATGTTAAACAAGATGGAAATGTTAAACAAGATGGAAATGTTAAACAGGATGGAAATGTTAAACAGGATGGAAATGTTAAACAAGATGGAAATGTTAAACAGGATGGAAATGTTAAACAAGATGGAAATGTTAAACAGGATGGAAATGTTAACTTACAATTAAAATGGCTGTAGTGCTGTCAATATCCAAGATGGCTGAATTATTGAACATTTCTCGCAGCTCTTTTAAAACATCTCGCTGCTTTTTTAAAGCTTTCCTGAAAAGTATACAGTATAAAATATGAAACCTCTATTGCAAAAGTCAAAGCTTTATTTATTACAGGCCTTATAAATCAATTGTATCTAATATACATTTACTTTTTCTGATCTGCAGCATTGTAGGACTCATACAGTAATGGTTCTAGAATACTTTGAACTTTTTTCTTTGCTGCTCCTTGTTCAGCTTGTTTAAACATAGTGACAAAAACCTGGAAAAAAAGTTATCCTTTTTCATCTCAAGAAATTCTGAGATTCTATAATAAAACAAATGAATAAAATAAACATGGAATCATGTTTAGATGCTAACACATTTTTTACACCTCCATATATAGATATAATATTTTGCTACAAAAATTTATACATTTTTCTAACACCATTAAATTATGAAACCTTTTGTTTTTCCATAATATATTCAACAAGTAGCTTTAACAAAAAGACGTACCTTGAGTCGCAAATTTCTTTGAAAAGTGAGAAGCAAATCCAAAGCAACCAATGCCCTAAAAAGTTGCATCAAATGTTAAGAAGTTTACTTGGTTAGATTCTTATCAATAATGAAATGAAATATTAATTTTTAAATTGACAGTAAAACTCACTCATATTTAGCATTGACAACAGCTTCTGCCTCCTCACTAATTTCAAATCTACCAGTGGTTCTGTAAGTCTGAATAACTTTCTGACTTTCTTTGGAATATCCTAATTAGAAAAAATTATGACATATTTTATACCTAGTTACCCTGATGTGTACTTTGAGAAATCAATTAAAAAAACTATTGTTTTAGTTAGAAAAAGGATTTTGTGTTTAGTGATGATTTTTATATATTAAACATAATTTAATTCATGATACAAATATAACAAGCATACAAGATGTTGAGTAAAGATTACCTTTCCCTTTATCTCTTGGGAATGGAACATCTTGTCGCCCATCTAACAAACTAAGTAGAGGGGGGAGCAGCTTATGGACATCTCCAACATCCATGTAGTACCCAAACTTAACTAAATACTGCAGCAGACGCAACACCTAGGTGGAACCATTTATACATGAGCCAAAAGACAGACTTAAAATATTTCATGTTTTGATAACTGGCATTTTTGTTCAGACTTAAAACTATTGCTTTTTACTTTTTCTCTTCAAATTTAAAGCCTTTTAACTTACTTATTGTTAAGATATGGGAAAACATTCTTTTTTACCTGTTTGACCAGCAAATTTCTGCCAACCATACTTGATGTCATGATGCAGTTTTGTGATAAAAACTCTGCCAGCCAGTCCCTCAACACTGGAAATATTGTAACCAAATCTTTCACAACCTGCAGAAAACAGAAACATATAGGCAAACTTGTTAGTTCTGTTAAAGAATCTTTATTAGAATATTGTTTTAAAGTTATGGAGATCTATCAAAATTACACACAAGGTCAGTTTTCAAGCAAAGTGCAAGCTACATAAACAATTATTTCTATCTTTCCAGAAATATAAAAATACTTGAACATTAGAAGCCAAGAATTTTATTCTCATTAAAAATCTAGTTTAAAAAGTGTGTAAAACAGATATAGGCTAAAATAATTGCAACATACTGAATAGTGAAATGTGCTACAATATTTATGGAAAATACATTTAAAAAAAGAAAAATTTAGTTTACTTATTAAAGTAAAAAATATAACTTTTTATCTCATCTGGATATTTGCAAAGCAACTGATTTAGGTATACAAAGTTCCATTTAAATTGGTAAATCTTTTAGGTCTGTAACTATTTTTTTTATTGAAATGAGATTTAAATTAACAAATGCTAAGTTTGACTTAAAAAAAAATTGTGATACTTAAATAATAACTTCCCTTTATTAAACTTTATTTACAGAAGAATGAGCCATGTTATATGATTTAGTAAATACAACTTATTTTATGCAGTTATATATTTTGTGCAGCAAGAAGTCTGTTAAAAATTAGCATTCTCTTAACACACTAACTAAAATCAATGAATTTCATCTAAAAGATTAAGAGCTAGTTTAAATATGATTATAAAGAAATTATTAATTTGGTAAGCATATTGTTATATTTTATTAGTTCTTTTCTCTTTCTCTCTCTCTCTCTCTCTCTCTCTCTCTCTATATATATATATATATATATATATATATAAATATATTCACAGATACCACACACCATTCTTATAATACAAATTACAAAAGTTGATATCCTAAAATTTGCAAGAATGTTTAATTTTGATCCCAAAATTAAGTATCATATAATACAAAATATAATGGTTAACTATAAAGTGCATAGAAAGCTGAATAAAATCCAAAGTCTAATATTAATAACATTTAGAAAAAAACTAGCATTACACAATGTAATAGATCAACATTGTTTTCTCTAAAATAGCCTACCTCACCACGTCTGGGTTCTCCCCAATTCTGTCCAAAACCGCAGCAATAGAAAGCAGAATGAATTATGATGTTAGTGAAATTGATCAGAGCTTTATACAGCCTGACCATTGTAACAGTAGCTTAAAACAGCAACATATTAAAGTCAACTGTTATATAAACATAATTTGATTTCCTCTCATAAAAATGTAGTGAAAATGAAAACAAATTTTTAGAGATGCTGCATTTTATCTTCATAAAATCTAAAACACTTAAAAACATGTATCTTTAAGATATTAGGTAATGAATCAGCTAACAATTTTCTTATACATTTATGTGTTGTTTTCTGTGTTAATGTCAGAAATATGGTTGTTCAAAATCAATTTTATTGGTAACATAGGCATTTTACAAAATAGAAATCCTGTGTTAAAAGCACCTAATATTTTAAATTTATTTGACTTAAAACCAAGTTAAATTCTGATACTTTATTATTAAGTCAGCAATAAATATTTCCTTGTGAATAATGTGAATGCTTATGTACAAAATACAAGTTTAAATTCATTCATAGATGAAATATTTGTTAAGTGAAAAAAAGGTAGAAGAAAAAGGCTTGATCAGGTTTTGGACAACTTCTGAAAAAAAGTGACGTCTGTAGTAGGGACTGACTGCAAAAATACAGAACATTAAAGAGAAAAATAGCAAGCAGGTGAGGAAGAGAGTTAGTAGAAACATATTTGAAATTCTATAGTTTTACAGCTAACTCTATGTTGATAAACTAATTTATTTCAGAATTTTTCTATGGAACTGCTCATGGAAGTATTGTTTTTTCTTTATTTTGAAACATTATTTTATTCTTATTTTAAAATTCTATTTATGGAACTAAGTAAATCTAATCTTTATAATTTTTAGTTTTGTAAATAGATATCATATAATGAATATAAAATCTACTTAAGAAATATTTTTGAAAAAAAAATGACATTCATTTAAGATTTGAAAAAAAAAAAGAAACTAATAGTCTAAAAAATGTGTAAGACGGTAAAGCTACCAAGTCACAAAATGTAAAAATTCTGCTAAAATGCAACTTGTGATTATCTAGGTAAGTTAGGTTAAGTTTAATAACAAATGCTAGGGAGGTTTAAGTATAATTTGTTTTATATATTTTTTAAGCTAGTAGTTAAGTAAGAATGAATAGTTGTGTTGATATTTTCTAATGTTTATATGTGATTATGATAAGGACTACCTCAATGGGCATATCAATGATTCCATTCCACATTACAGTGTCATCATCACTAGAACTCAAGATAGGATTATTATCCAAGTGAAGTGTGAAGCTTGAATCTGCAACATGTCTGTTGTTGGCTTGTTCTCTAGTGTTTTCAGTACTTGAGGAAGAAGGTGGCTACAAGCAAATGACATTTAACATGTGGCACTGAAGACATATGCAAGCTACAGAAAAACCCATATATCAGGTAGCTCATTCTAGCTTAGGTTTATTTATACTGGCTGTTTCTGGAAAAGTTTGATTGAGATTACAATTTTGTTAATATTAATTAATATTTCTAAAAAAGATATAACTGTTTGTCCTCTTCAATAATCATTCCATTAAACTGAAATCATACTATTATGTATTCATTTTCAGACAAAAATGCTATTTGTAAAAATGCATAAAATTTAAATGAAAAATAAGTAGCGCAATATAACAAAAACAGATTTCATGTGCTTAAATATTAGAATAATTAAGTATCTAGCAGGTGTTGGCTACATTAGCAGCTTCATGCTCATGTGGAAATTATGTTCATTTAATTAACTTTTAACTTTGCAACTAAATAAAAGTTGCAATTTAAGTTTAAAAAAAAAAGAAACTGTAATATACATTTTGTTTGTAGAAAAATTAATAAAAAAAACCCCAAAAACAACCAAAGGTAAAGAAGTGGTTAACTCTGCTGGCACATAGATGTTTACAATGGAGTAGTTGTGTGTTTATCTGGTGCTGTCCAAATAGTTTGGTAGTGCACAGTATAAGCCTACATGCACCCAAGCTATTCCAAGAATTTTATTGTCCTACAGGTCATTATACTTTTCTTTATTTCTAACTACAGCAACAAATCAATAGCTTTGGTTTTATGATAGTTGTATGTGTGATTTACACTTGTTATTAATGATTAGATAGCTACATTGAGAACCAATACACACTTGTCAGAAATAAAGCAGAGTAGGTAGGTGCTTGATTCAGTTGTGAAAAAGCTTTATTTTAAAAATATAGGATATAAGTGTTTGATGTTTTTAGAAAAATAAATTGTTTATAGTAAAAAAACTTATTTTTAGTAATCTTTTACTCACTTATCTAAATAGTTTTAACTGTAAGTTATTAATATTGTAACAAAAAATTAAGTAACATTTAAGAAGAAATCAGTTTCTGTTCCTTTGTTTCACTGAACACTTTAAAAATAACTAGTTAGTGTAGGCCTACAAAGGGAAAGATTTGACAAGAGAGTTGTCAATAACTGAGAATTTGTTATCAGAGCTGCTGAACATCACCAATACACAACCATTGTGTAATGATCATCAACAGAGAAAACAAATAAAATATAGTTCATATACATTGCAGTAATTATGTATATACATTGTAATATTTACATACACTTTAATAAATACATTCTTTGTAATATTCACATATCAGTATGAAAAGCATGTTTGTCAACAATATCAAGATAAAATCATGCAACAAAACCACAAAATGCAAAGCGTAATTACCAAAACTTGACAGCAATGCCTCACACATTCTAAACATAACATGCAAACATGCTCAACTAGTCAGAAATATTGATTATGTATTACATGCTTTTGGAAATGCATTTTTGAAACATTTTTTAATCAATGTTTTTAAGTTTTAATCCTTAAATTTATTAAAATATGTATCTGAATATGCAATGCAAAAGCATAGATCTATAGGTTGTGCAAGATTGATGAAACTAAAGGCTTACAGTGGGAGCAACTAATACATTTAACATGACATTTTACTTAACTTTACAGAGATGTGTTTAAGATTATAGTTTGAAGTCTAGTTTTACCTTAATAAGCCTTTTAGGCTCTTTCATTCACATAAATGACTAGTACACTTGAGTTTAATTCCATTGTTTTAATTATATAGTTACCATAGCCATAAATTTATTAGCGTTATAATAAGCTCTTTGTTGTGTTAATACTTAGTTTTTATATAAATGTTGCTTGTTTAAGTTTCAATAATTTTTGATAACTTACATATTGGCTTTGATCAGTATCTGCATCCTTAGATCCAACATATTCATAGACAAAGCAAATATTTGGGTTGTCCAACACTGAGTAATTGTTTCCAACATCCACAAACAAACCTGTGAACAAAAAGAATATTTTTCATTTAAAAAAACAACTAAAGTAACTCTTTTGAACATGTAGGCAATAGTGTAGATGAAGTAGAGTTCATGTTTCAATGACCTTGGCATACAAAGGGTTATTGTGGTTAGTTGTATGCCCAGCCACCTTTATTTTCCCTTTCCCCAACAGGAGTCAGATAACCCACCAGATACTCCATTAGAGCAGCATAAAACAAAAGTATTCTTGCACCAACCTATAACAAGTTCAGTGAACTTAGCACGGACTGAGTCAGGCAAGAGATCAGACTGTATGCACAGAAAGGCATCTTCCCAGGTGATGTAGCCAAACTCTCTTGTGATTGTGTGAATAGAGAAGTCATTCCGACCCTGAACAATTACAAGTTCGATATCATTTTACAAGATTTAGTTTTTTTAAATATTGTATAAACATTTACATTCATTCAAAATATTTATTATCAAAACAAAACTATATTTAATTTTCCTACAGTCTTATATTCATTTTCATTGATAGTCTCTCCTCATATGATAGTTTTATTTGTGGAAACTTACAAAACAAAATGCTTTCATGAGGTCCAGCTGATGCATAAGAAACAGATTCTTCTCAAAGTCATACTCAGCAGATTCAGTCTGTAACACACACACAAACACAAATAATCGTTAGGCTTGATCAAATTACAATGAGCTGGATTACAAATAGTTTTTATTTTGTTGGTAACTAATGAGCTGGATTACAAATAGTTTTTATTTTGTTGGTAACTATTGTACATACAAAAGTAAATGATGAAGAAAATGTGCTTACATCAACAAACTGGTGTAATGCCACCCAAGAACTTCCACCATTTACAGAGATGTAGACTATGTTGGGTCTTTTATTGATATTCTGGCCTCTGTCTATCAGGTAAACACTGTCCTGTACACAATTATATATTCAGTTAAAGAATAAGAGGGCAAAATTTAGCAGGTTTAAGTTATTTACTATATCACTTATGTCATAACATAATAGGCCCCCTCTGTTTCCCAACTATAGTTATGAAATCATCTAACAAGTTAACCTTATAGTTCTATAAGTCATCTAACAAGTTAACCTTATAGTTCTATAAACCATCTAACAAGTTAACCTTATAGTTCTATAAATCATCTAACAAGTTAACCTTATAGTTCTATAAACCATCTAACAAGTTAACCTTATAGTTCTATAAACCATCTAACAAGTTAACCTTATAGTTCTATAAATCATCTAACAAGTTAACCTTATAGTTCTATAAACCATCTAACAAGTTAACCTTATAATTCTATAAACCATCTAACAAGTTAACCTTATAGTTCTATAAACCATCTAACAAGTTAACCTTATAGTTCTATAAACCATCTAACAAGTTAACCTTATAGTTCTATAAATCATCTAACAAGTTAACCTTATAGTTCTATAAACCATCTAACAAGTTAACCTTATAGTTCTATAAACCATCTAACAAGTTAACCTTATAGTTCTATAAACCATCTAACAAGTTAACCTTATAGTTCTATAAACCATCTAACAAGTTAACCTTATAGTTCTATAAATCATCTAACAGGTTAACCTTATAGTTCTATAAACCATCTAACAAGTTTACCTTGTAGTTTCTATAAACCATCTAACAAGTTAACCTTATAGTTCTATAAACCATCTAACAAGTTAACCTTATAGTTCTATAAGTCATCAAACAAGTTTACCTTGTAGTTTCTATAAACCATCTAACAAGTTAACCTTATAGTTCTATAAACCATCTAACAAGTTAATCTTATAGTTCTATAAATCATCTAACAGGTTAACCTTATAGTTCTATAAATCATCTAACAAGTTTACCTTGTAGTTTCTATAAACCATCTAACAAGTTAACCTTATAGTTCTATAAACCATCTAACAAGTTAACCTTATAGTTCTATAAATCATCTAACAAGTTAACCTTATAGTTCTATAAATCATCTAACAAGTTAACCTTATAGTTCTATAAATCATCTAACAGGTTAACCTTATAGTTCTATAAACCATCTAACAAGTTTACCTTGTAGTTTCTATAAACCATCTAACAAGTTAACCTTATAGTTCTATAAACCATCTAACAAGTTAACCTTATAGTTCTATAAGTCATCTAACAAGTTTACCTTGTAGTTTCTATAAACCATCTAACTAGTTAACCTTATAGTTCTATAAACCATCTAACAAGTTAACCTTATAGTTCTATAAACCATCTAACAAGTTAACCTTATAGTTCTATAAACCATCTAACAAGTTTACCTTATAGTTCTATAAACCATCTAACAAATTAACCTTATAGTTCTATAAGTCATCAAACAAGTTTACCTTGTAGTTTCTCAGCCATTGCTGCACAATATAGGACTGGTTGTTTGGTATGGCAACTTCATCACAAACACACAAGACATGAAGAAGGTCAAGGAAATGATAGCTCTACAATACGAAAAGACACCAGGTCATGAGTTCATTACAATTAATTTTATAATTCTAAAATTGATTCAACTACTAACTTTACTCAAATAATGTCTACATCTCTAGGAAAGAATAGCTTACATTATTGTTAAAATATACAAATCTTTGTTTTGAATAGATTTCTTTCTAGAAAATTATCTAATCACTGGATGTAATTAGCTAACAATGATAAGAACACTTTGAGACACTTACTGGATTGTTTCGAAGTAGCTGAATGAAGGTGTCAATGTGATTCTGAGTAATCCGATCTACAATTTTTCGTTTATCCCTAATAAGTTCTACAATCATCTGTGCCACATTGAGGCCAATTCCACCCTTAAAACAAAAACAATTCATTGAGATTTTCTTAACACTTAATACAGGGGTCAAATCAGTACCAAGACTGTGAGCTGTAGTACAATGTCATAACACTAAATTAGGAGACAATACAAAATAATTTACCTTCTGAGTAAACTGAGTTTGGAAGAAATCAATGTATTTAGCAATGTACAAAGCATTTTTTCTACTTTTGCCCAGCATGTAAGCATGTAACACATCATAAGCTTCTTTAAATATCCTGATCATGTGCAGCTGTTCATCTCCTTCACGCAGGGGGCACTGGAGCAATTTGACTAGTAGGTCAATCACCTGTAACAAAATGATTTAAAATTTGATTACTAGGTCAATCACCTGTAACAAAATGATTTAAAATTTGACTACTAGGTCAATCACCTGTAACAAAATGATTAAAAATTTGACTACTAGGTCAATCACCTGTAACAAAATGATTTAAAATTTGACTACTAGGTCAATCACCTGTAACAAAATGATTTAAAATTTGATTACTAGGTCAATCACCTGTAACAAAATGATTTAAAATTTGACTACTAGGCCAATCACCTGTTACAAAATGATTTAAAATTTGACTACTAGGTGGTCAATCACCTGTAACAAAATGATTCAAAATTTGACTAGTAGGTCAATCACCTATAACAAAATGATTCAATAATTTGACTAATAAGTTTATCAATTTTTTTTTACAAAAAAGCTAACATAATATATGACATAATAACTTAATAATTTTAAGGAGAATAGAAAGAAAAATGAAATGAGAATTAAAATGTTAAGCCATAGAATTTAAAAACAAACACGATTTACCCTAAGGTTTCGCAGCAACTTTTGTCTGTCCTTGTCTGGCTGACCATCAGGCATTATAAACTCCTTAATTTCATGTAAAGTCTGAGCAAACAAACAAAAATGCTGACCATCATTATACCACACCATTACCATATCACAAACACATTATAACATACCATTACCATATCACAAACACATTATACCATACCATATCACAAACACATTATACCATACCATTACCATATCACAAACACATTATACCATACCATTACCATATCACAAACACATTATACCATACCATTACCATATCACAAACACATTATACCATACCATATCACTAACACATTATACCCTACCATTGCCATGTCACAAACACATTATACCATACCATTACCATATCACAAACACATTATACCATACCATTACCATATCACATACAAATTATACCATACTATTACCATACCACAAACACATTATACCATACCATTACCATATCACAAACACATTATACCATACCGATATCATATCATGAGTTTTTCTTGCTGTGAGAGCTGTGCCACTTCGTTGCTAATAAAAGAAAAAAAAACTTTCTTAAACTTACTACTTTTGAAGTTATAAAATAAAAATTTCTTATTAACTTTGTTGGGTAACAGAAGAAAATGTTTGTGTTACTCACATCCTGAATGATATTGAAAAGAAATGGCACCATCCCAGCAACATAGTTAAAGTTGAGAGCTTCATCTTCTGTAACTTGTTGTATTGTGTAAGCATCGTCATACATGCTCTCTGGGCTAGCTGCAACCTGGTTGTAAACAGATCTCGGTTTAAGTTAACCAATCAAACAAATATTACCATCCACATGTGTTGTGAGAGAATGATCTTAGTTTAAACAAAAAAGTTAAAACAAAGATTAGCCTTTATTTGTGTTTTGCTCTGGTATTAATTAGAAAACATGCTGCAGTTCAAAGTATATGGAGGTTAAATAGATATTATCGGAAAAATTAAAAAGAATGTGTTTACCTTCCTCAAAGGTGCACCATCCCACCTTAGACCTTGCATGGTTCGTTCTGTGTCACGTTCATTGTACTGATGTTTCTCATAATCCTCATCTTTAGAAAATTATTACAATAAATGTTTTATAAGTGAGCCAATAAAACTTTACTATAAAACAAAACCCATTAATAAATTAAAATAGTTAACTAGTAAATATTAATATTATAATAGGTTTTCTTCTATTTCAAACGTGTTTAAATTGAATGAAAAATGTTCACCTTTAAGTGCATGTAGCCAGCGACTGGTCAGCATGTGTTCAATCCTTGCATAGCTCTCCAACTGTATCTCATCCCTTTCCTTGTGACCAAGTGATGATATAGATTTATAAGTAATAATGGATGATTATTACACATTCATGCATGTAACAATTTATTTTCACTATGTCTTATTTCATCTAAGTTAGTTGTAATGAAAGCAAATTATTTTTAAAAATAAGTCGACATAAAGACAAACCTTAAGTACTGAATGAAGTCTAAAGACAGTACGGGGATCTGTGGAGTCTGGTGTCAGCATTACGTCCATATTTGTATCTAAACACAGGTACTGGCGAGTCAGCATATGTCTTAGCCGTATTTGTTGTTCCCATCTCAAAATATCTCCTGTTACATGTAACATTAAATTCATTACATATCTAATGAAAAATAACATGTCATATCACAATGTGCAACATTTGAAAACTTTTTTTTCCTTTATTATTTTAAATTTTTTAATTGAATATTTATTACTATTTAAAATGCTATGCTTTCTATCATCTAAAATGTTAGGACATTGACTATCTAAATGTAATGACACTTACTAATTAAAATGTATGGAATCTACCATCTATAATTAAGTGAAATCTACCATCTAAAATGTTATGACACCTACAATCTAAAATGCTATGAAACCTACCATCTAAAATGTTATGACATCTACAATTTAAAATGCTATGAAATCTACCATCTAAAATGTTATGACACCTACAATCTAAAATGCTATGAAATCTACCATCTAAAATGTTATGACACCTACAATCTAAAATGCTATGAAATCTACCATCTAAAATGTTTTGACACCTACAATCTAAAATGCTATGAAACCTACCATCTAAAATGCTATGACACCTACCATCTAAAATGCTATGTTCTGCTTCAACTTGCCAGTATGTTATCCCAGATGTTGATGGTGATAAGGATTTTGGGCGATGTTGATCAATGGCACGGATACGGAAATGCACTTAAATAGAATTAATTATGTTTAATAAGAAAATGTAAAATAATCAATAACAGATTTATTCCAGCATAAATACTACTTGAATTATGATACTACTAAATGTATTAGTTAAATAGTAAAATACATTGAAAACTTTACCACCAGCTCAATAACACATGCACATAAAAATGATTTAACAACTATCTCTCTCTCTCAACCACTCATGTAGGCTACAGTTTCATTTTACCATCTTCAATAAGTGATTCATCAAATAATCCTTCTGCCACAAGGTATGCTTCTAATTCTTTGTGAAAAAGACGAATTACACAACCACCCTAAAAAGTAAAAATTAAAAAAAAAAAAAATGATAGGCTTGATATTTGTTAACATTATACAAATCATTTAAAAATACTTTATGCGACTTTTTAGAAGGTGTAAGATTTTCCAGACATACCCGGACAAATCTGTTTTGCTCTGGTCTATCTCTGAAGCTGCCAATTAATGTAAAACTTGATCTTTCCACACCCAAGTTCAACTCTGACCTGGTTTAACCATATAAAACAGATGTTTATTATTTTCTAATTACGATCAGTATTATTAAAATGTTTGATCATAAAATTCTGTGAAAAGAGTAGATACCCAATTTTTCTTAAGACAATATTTTAAAATCTAAAAGATGTTGGTCCTATTTTTTTTTAATAAAATATTTTCTATTTTAAGGATAAACATCTTTTTAGTGAAAATATTTGCATATATAAAACATTATTTATATTCTTTGTTAGATGCAGAATTAAAATGTTTTGTTATAAATCAAGGACTGAATAATATTTGTTAAAGAAATACAGAAATAAAACTACATTATAGTTGCCATAGTTGATGTGTTTAAATAAATACAAAGCAGTAAAAAAAGCTTACAAATTGAAAACAATTTTTTAATCTAAATAAATGCTTTATCTAAATTTTGTGTTTAAAGAATAAGTAAAACTAAAACCTTGACATATACAAATGGTATAAATACCAATACAAGATTATGTTAAATAATTAATAAACCAGATGGTAACAGATACCTTAAAGAATAGGCTAGATTTCTAGTAATAAATGTTAATCTTATCTAGTGTAGGAGCCTAAATTAACACCACCTAATACATTAATTTTTAAAGTTGTATTTGATCTTAGCTAACATGACCAGATATTTCAGGACAGAGCTGAATTAAACAGGGACCCTTACCCAAAGGTGTAGTGGTCAATCTGAAAAGATTCACTTGCATGAAAGTAATGTCCAGGTGATTTTACACTTTCAAACACAATTTGATCATAGAGCTGAACCTGTAGTAAAATTCTGAAGTTAATTTATAAACTTCAGTGAAAGCTCAAACCAAGATTGATTTAAAAAAAAGGGTAAATATTATTGACTGCACTACACTACAAAAAAAAAGAAGCTAAAAGGTTTATAATTTTTTATTGTTTTTTTAACCCTTTCTAACATAAATATGAAAAATAATGATATAAGACTAAGTGATAGTTTCAGTTTAAAGTTTTTACCACTTCTCCTTCTGATTTGACTTTGTATCTGGGAAGAATTCTAAATTGTGCATTTTTTGCATTAAATTCAATTAATGACACCTAAAAATAAGATAAATAAAACATGTATTAATTAATTTAAACATATTATTTTAAGCATAATTTGTTTTTTACATTATACTCAGCAAACGTATCTTGGTAAAACAGAAGTTAGCCTCATCTACCAGTAGAATAAGTTTAGTTCTGCAACTAAAAGCTGTTTTTTGTTAGGAATATTATCTGCATAATTTTGTCTTCACTTTAAGAAAAACAATATTTGATAGAAACAATTACCTTCATATTGTTTTTATCCTTTTTACTGGTGTGTGTGGTGCTCATATGCACAAATTTGCCAGTGAAAATGTGCTTGAGCTGAACATGATATCAAGAAATAATATTAAACTTTAGCCAAAGATAGATTTAGATACAGTTTCAATTTTCAATTCATTTAAATTTTATTTAATTTACTAAAAATTTAGTTAATTGCTCAACTTAAATTTGCTATCTAGATTCTATTTACTATTTAGTCTAGAAAATTTAATAAAAATGCAACAATAATTAGATCTATTAAATGAAAAAATATTATCTATTATATGAAAAAAAAAATGTGTTTACAATTATAGTTAACAAAACTATATATTTATGCATCTGTTTAAAATATATTATTATAATTAGAATCTATATATTATATTTTTTAAACTTATTATTTATTTTTTGTGTAATGTTTGTTCTCAATATTAATTATTTATTAGTATTAGGATTAGGTTACACAATTAAATCTTAACTGTAAACAATTGAGGAAAACTAGTACCACAGGTAAAGTTCAATTTAAACTGTGTGCCTTAAATAAAAACAAACTGTGATTAAAAATAAACAATGGGTGACTGTCTGTACCTGTACAATTTCACCATAGCGAACTCTTTTACCATGCTGCCTAGTCTGTTCAGCCAGATTATCTTTTTTCTCTGCCTCTGCAGCCAGCTGAAAAAAGTGATGGGCTCTTTTATTTATTAAAACCATTTATTTCAAGAATACATGACCTCTATATTATTTTCATTTAGATGATTATAATAATTTATGGCTAACAGTATATTAAATTACTATATTATATCTAGACCTAGATCTAGTATGGGGTCATCCATAAATGAGGTCACACTTTTTGGACGATTATTACCTCCCCCTCCCTCCGTCGCACATAGTCACAAAAAGCTAACCCCCCCCCCCCCCTAAAATAACGTCACATCTCAGCCTACGACCCCCTCAAAATTGCAGTTGAATTTCTCCTAAAAAATTTTCAAAATCTTGTCTGAACACTGTCAACATAGAGTATTTTAATCAATTCCTATTACAATGTACTAAAACGCGAAATAACGGCTAAAAATTAGTTTTCAAACATTGTTTTTTTTAATGCATAAGTGTGACGTCCCGCCATTTGAACGCCCCCTTCCCCCTCATCACACACCGTCACAAAATTACTGAACCCCCCCCCTTTTCCCCTACGATTGCGACGTCATTTATGGACGACCCCTATTTGAAAATCGTTGAAATAATTTAAAAATTTGAGTAAACAGACTAGGATCTGTCTTAATTTCATCAGATAACAAACATTACATTTAAATATTTAAATGAAATGATTTATTTCAAAATGAGACAATTAGAAATAAATGCTAATTGATTTTGACAAGATTTTCACATTCACTGACATTTTATTCTATTTAATCTTTGTAATGGAACTTGATGCACTTTGATCACTTGCAGTCTAAAGAACTAGATCTAGATCTAGGACTATTTGAAACTTTTTTGAAGATTTATTTTTTGAAGTTTAAAAAAGTGATATTAAAAAAAAATTGTATTATCTATTTGGCTATTAATCCATAAATTATGAATTCGTTGGTTTATCTATATTTATTGGTTAAATAACAAAAAAAAAAACATTTTTTTTCTTGTTGCCAGCTCAAATGAAACAAGACAAAGACATTGTTTTTCATTACCTTTTCAAATAACTAGTTATGCAGCATGGTTTTCGATGATTTTAATCTATATAAAAACCCACCGTCAGCAGTATGTATACATTCATTATTTTGTTCAAATATAAAAATAAATTCATAAAAAACGTTTTAATAACAAGCTTTTATGTAATAAAGCACTAAAAAGTAGAAAATAAATTATACGCTACTATGTAAACTTTTTAGAGCATTATTACATAAAAGCTTGTTATTAAAACGTTCTTTATGAAAAAAAATTTCAGTACTTTAAATTTTACTAAATTTTCAAGCATTTAGCCCTTTATAACATTTTAAAGTAATTTTGAAGGTGAAATTCACGAACTGCATAGTTTCTTTATCTTCTTCTGATCTAGATTCACATCTAGTATTCTATTAATACTGACAATGATATCTCTGGAAAATAAACTGACTGAGCAGGGTCTAGTTCATACTGCCCTACACTGGCAGCTACTGCCTCAAGTAAGTTTTGGGTTAGCTGGTAATGTCAGCCTCAACTAATTTTTGGGTTCGCTGGTCCCAGTAATGTCAGCCTCAAGTAATTTTTGGGTTAGCTGGTCCCAGTAATGTCAGCCTCAACTAATTTTTGGGTTCGCTGGTCCCAGTAATGTCAGCTTCAAGTAATTTTTGGGTTCGCTGGTCCCAGTAATGTCAGCCTCAAGAAATTTTTGGGTTCGCTGGTCCCAGTAATGTCAGCCTCAACTAATTTTTGGGTTCGCTGGTCCCAGTAGTGTCAGCCTCAACTAATTTTTGGGTTCGCTGGTCCCAATAATGTCAGTCTCACGTAACTTTTGGGTTCACTGGTCCCAGTAATGTCAGCCTCAAGTAATTTTTGGGTTCGCTGGTCCCAGTAATGTCAGTCTCAACTAATTTTTGGGTTCGCTGGTCCCAGTAATGTCAGCCTCAACTAATTTTTGGGTTCACTGGTCCCAGTAATGTCGGCCTCAAGTAATTTTTGGGTTCGCTGGTCCCAATAATGTCAGTCTCAACTAATTTTTAGGTTCGCTGGTCCCAGTAATGTCAGCCTCAACTAATTTTTGGGTTCACTGGTCCCAGTAATGTCAGCCTCAAGTAATTTTTGGGTTCGCTGGTCCCAGTAATGTCAGTCTATACTAATTTTTGGGTTCGCTGGTCCCAGTAGTGTCAGCATCAACTAATTTTTGGGTTCACTGGTCCCAGTAGTGTCAGCCTCAACTAATTTTTTGGGTTCGCTGGTCCCAGTAATGTCAGTCTATACTAATTTTTGGGTTCGCTGGTCCCAGTAGTGTCAGCCTCAACTAATTTTTGGGTTCACTGGTCCCAGTAGTGTCAGCCTCAACTAATTTTTGGGTTCGCTGGTCCCAGTAATGTCAGTCTATACTAATTTTTGGGTTCGCTGGTCCCAGTAGTGTCAGCCTCAACTAATTATTGGGTTAGCTGGTCCCAGTAATGTCAGCCTCAAGTAATTTTTGGGTTCGCTGGTCCCAGTAATGTCAGTCTCAACTACTTATTGGGTTCACTGGTCCCAGTAATGTCAGTCTATACTAATTTTTGGGTTCGCTGGTCCCAGTAATGTCAGTCTCAACTAATTTTTGGGTTCGCTGGTCCCAGTAATGTCAGCCTCAACTAATTATTGGGTTAGCTGGTCCCAGTAATGTCAGCCTCAACTAATTTTTGGGTTCACTGGTCCCAGTAATGTCAGCCTCAAGTAATTTTTGGGTTCGCTGGTCCCAGTAATGTCAGTGCTGAATAGTGAAGGTGGATGTGAAGCTCTGGTTTCTTCTTTTTACATTATCTGTCTGGTGGGGTATCCTATAGCTTTTATTTATTAAACTTGCTAGAGAAGTCAGCTTATAGATCAAGTGTGCCTAAACTTCGTTTTTGCCTGAAATTCTAAAAGCTGTCTGAAAGCATTAGTAGATCTTCACTAGAATGTTTTTAGATGAGTTTTGAATTAGTTTTCCGCTGGCTCAGCCTACCTTTGCTTGTGTCAGCATTGACCGAGCCGAAGCATCGGAACTGTCGGCTTGAAGATAGCTCACACATTTCCTGTATTTTTTGTTCAGTTTATAGCGGTTTTGGATACAAACTTGAAATACAACAGCTGAAAATGTTTTGAATAAACATAGATAATTACTAAGCTTAGCTTTAGCATTATAAATTTTTGGCTAGGTATGGCCGGTAGGAATAGATAAATAAATAAATAAACTAATATATAAATCTATTTGTATATATATATATATATATATATATATATATAGGCATATATATATATATAATATATATATATATATATATATATATATATATATATATATATATATATATATATATATATATATATATTTATATATATATATATAGGCATATATAATATAATATATATATATATATATATATATATATATATATATATATATATATATATATATATATATATATATATATATTATATTATATATGCCTATATATATATATATAAATATATATATATATATATATATATATATATATATATATATATATATATATATATATGCCTATATATATATATATATATATATGCCTATATATATATGCCTATATATATATGCCTATATATATATATATATATATATATATATGCCTATATATATATATGCCTATATATATATGCCTATATATATATATATATATATATATATATATATATATATATATAACACGACACTACACATGACATATATATATATATATATATATATATATATATATATATATATATATATATATATATATATATATATATATATATATACAGGCTTATGTATTTCAATAAATAACTAAATTATCAATTGTGTGTGCGTGTGTGTGTGTGCGAGTGTGAGTGTGATAAGTCAAAAATACTGTAAAACCATCTCACTGTGAGCATTAGGGATATTGGTTGGGCGGTTTCTGTCTTGTCCAGTGTACACAAATAGGCCACTGTTGGTGGAACTGAGAACAAAAAGTTCCCGGAGTTAGAACAATGGGAACATTATGGGAACATTTGAATAGGTCTACAGCTAAACAAGTCACAGTGATATTTTGGAATATAAAATAGAATGACACATCTAGAACTAAATATCTTAGAACAAGTAGCAAGAAAATCTTTAATAAACAGCTTGTAAAAGATAACATACATAATTCCTATATTTGGGTACGTTTTAACAATAATTCCTGCCGTGTAAAAATGTATTCGCACTTTCAGCTAATTTGTATAATTAAGCTCGTAGTGTTAGTCATTCGGAACAACAAACGTAGACATGTTTTGCAACTATATCACGTGTCTTCTTATTGTACAGCCAAGGGGTGTTCTACCACACCAGGATGTTGGTGTTTTGTTCTTCAATTTATTCAATAACGTTTACAACAGCAGGCCTTTTTTAAAATGTATGTACATACGCCAAGACAAACAGAAGTTATTGTATTTTTGCATTATCTAGTAATCTGTCTTAACTGCTGTTAACGTAATTGACTAGTGTGCGTGTACATACGTTAATCTAAAATAAACATGTACACTTTCGCCTTGAACTTGGATACATGCGTGTCATGAGATGTTGGTGCTGTCTAACCACATTCTCGTCTGGCTGGAATGACGACACCTGTTCACGTCAGCTGGGGTAAATATTTACAAGTGATGTAATCATCTCCTGTCGCGGCGACTTACCTGGACTGATAGCTACAGACGAAGCCCTCAGTTTCCTCACAGTAGAGACACAGGTAGTCTCCGATACACAGCTGCTCACCCATGCCCTCCTCGGATGCCGCCCCGCTCAGCTGGGGAAACAAAGATTCTCCATCTTAACATTTTCAACGGTTCATATCATAACCAATGGGGACGTCAAGTGAAACATTCACCTGGGTAATTATCACACCTGTCATGTCGTGAGTTTAAACATGCTAGAGCAATTTTAGAGCAGTGGGATACATGATCACCAATTGGGGATTTGTCTAGGACATGCTCGACAACTAGGGATTCGTTAGGGACATACTCAGCAATGTGGGCTTAGTTAAGGATGTAACAAATGCAGTGTCGCTATGTGTTCCCAGAACTATAGCGTGACGTATGAACAAATAAAGGATTTATGTGTGGCTTAACATATTCAGGTCCTACTTTTGTAAGACTTGTAGCGAAAACTTAACAATATTCAGCAACTAGACTGAGATGGTGCCGTCTCTTTTAGTACGGCGATAAAAGACGTTTCAAGAGACAATTGAGACGTTACATACAGCCAGGAATGATTCCCTTAAGCGGAAAGCACAAAAACGATCAAAGCTGCGTCATTAACCTACAGGTGCCAGCTCGCGCATCAACTCGTTGATTTCTTTCCCAGGCTGGCAATTTTGTTTCGGCACAAGAGTACATCAACACATGACGTCACCACGGCTGTGAAATCTTACCCTAGGACCGCACTGAATGTACAACAGGCGCATGTCACCGTGACGTCACAGTTTGCTGCATCAAATAACGTGAACTTAATCAACCACAAAAAGGGTTTATTCATTTTCTTTTGTTGTGATGGCTTCAGCAACATGAGGCCACTCGGAAATTGGTCAGATGTTGACAGAAGAGAGAGAGAGAGAGAGAGAGAGAAAGAGAGAGAGAGAGAGAGAGAGAGAGGTGGGGTGGGGTGGGGTGGAGCGAGAGTGAGAGAGTTGGGTTATATAGAGAGTGGAGCTAAAGAGTTGAGCCAGATTGAACAAATCGATGTGCATGATGATCCGTCTGATGATTAGAGTCCAATCACCTTCCATTAGAACCAAAGTGGAGAGAATTTTAGCCAGTGATGCCTGATCTCGTTTAACTGGAGAACGTTGTGTTATTAAAACTATCTTTGAAACAAACGATTTTGGAGATAATAGCTGATTATCGAAATAACGTAGACATTTGGTTCAAACAGCCATTGAAAATCCTATAGGATTATCCTCGTCATTTTCATCTGTAACAATAATGCATTTTAAAATGCAGTTGTTTCCATTGGTCCACACCTCGACACAACAATACGACACAACACAACAACACGACACAACACACGACACAACAACACGACACAACAACACGACACAACAACACGACACAACACGACACTACACAACAACACGACACAACAATACGACACAACAACACGACACAACAACACGACACAACAACACGACACAACAACACGACACAACAACACGACACTACACGACACAACAACACGACACTACACTAAACGACACTACACACGACACAACACGACACAACAACACAACACTACACACGACACAACACGACACTACACTAAACGACACAACAACACGACACAACAACACGACACAACAACACAACACTACACACGACACAACAACACGACACTACACACGACACAACAACACGACACAACAACACGACACAACACGACACTACACTAAACGACACAACAACACGACACAACAACACGACACAACAACACAACACTACACACGACACAACAACACGACACTACACACGACACAACAACACGACACAACAACACGACACAACAACACGACACCACACGACACAACAACACGACACTACACTAAACGACACAACAACACGACACAACAACACGACACAACAACACAACACTACACACGACACAACAACACGACACGACACTACACAACAACACGACACTACACACGACACAACAACACGACACTACACACGACACAACAACACGACACTACACAACAACACGACACTACACAAGACACAACAACACAACACGACACAACAACACGACACAACAACACGACACTACACAACAACACGACACTACACACGACACAACAACACGACACTACACACGACACAACAACACGACACAACAACACGACACTACACACGACACAACAACACGACACTACACACGACACAACAACACGCAATTTTCTCAAAGGAAAAAAAAAACGTTACCTTCGTTCTTTACATTTTAAAATATTTGTGAATAAAAAATGAAGCGTAACCTTTAAGCTAAGTACTTAAAAGTTGTTTGTTTAAATTCATTACAGGGGTGTGATGAGCTTAACAGGTATAGAGACGTGAGAGAGTGCACAGTAATCGCCCTTTGATCGTTTACTCTACGGCGGCTCACTTAGTCAAGTGCGTTACGTGCCCTTTGATTGCACGGGAAATTTCTACCTTCGTGGATAAACAGTGGAATTATTGGCACATACAAACAACTATATCAACACATATGAGAAGTCGGTATCAGCACTTACACATGGCAAATACCAGCACACATAGGTGGCCTATATCATCACATATAGATGGCAAATGTTAGCACATATAGATGGGGAATATCATCACATATAGGTGGCCAATATTATCACGATATTAGCAGTTGGTTGGATGTAAAGTTACTGTCATTTGATGGGATTTACTGTTACTGTCATTTGATGGGATTTACTGTTACTGTCATTTGGTGGGATTTACTGTTACTGTCATTTGATGGGATTTACTGTTACTGTCATTTGATGGGATTTACTGTTACTGTCATTTGATGGGATTTACTGTTACTGTCATTTGATGGGATTTACTGTTACTGTCATTTGATGATATATGCTGTCATTGTCATTTGACAGTAGCGATGATAAGAACTAGACAAAGCTAATTGAGTGCCAGAAAACGGAGCAGCGGCTCCTCATTGTGGGCTGTGATGTGTGACTTATAAACTGGGTCGAACAGGAGGCTCTGCTAGCTGGGATTTTATGGGCCTCGGGCGGAATTTCCACGGCAGACAGACAGTGTGTAGGTGACCTGAAATACTCAGTGTGTAGGTGACCTGAAATACTCAGTCAGTGTGTAGAGGACATAGTGGGCGCATACAGAAAATGTGTATAAACGTAGTATGCGCAGTCAGAAAATGTGTATAAAACGTGGTATGCGCATTCAGGAATTGTATATAACGTAGTATGCGCAGTCAGAAAATGTGTATAAATGTAGTATACGCAGTCAGAAATTGTGTATATAATGTAGTAACGCAGTCAGAAATAGTGTATATATATGATATGTGGTTTGGGCCACCGTCTAGCTCATGTGGTCTAGGTCATATGGTCTGGGCCACCGTCTAGCTCATGTGGTTTGGGCCACCGTCTAGCTCATGTGGTTTGGGCCACCGTCTAGGTCATGTGGTCTGGGCCACCGTCTAGGTCATGTGGTCTGGGCCACCGTCTAGGTCATGTGGTCTGGGCCACCGTCTAGGTCATGTGGTCTGGGCCACCGTCTAGCTCATGTGGTTTGGGCCACCGTCTAGGTCATGTGGTCTGGGCCACCGTCTAGGTCATGTGGTCTGGGCCACCGTCTAGCTCATGTGGTTTGGGCCACCGTCTAGGTCATGTGGTCTGGGCCACCGTCTAGGTCATGTGGTCTGGGCCACCGTCTAGGTCATGTGGTCTGGGTCATATGGTCTGGGCCACCGTCTAGGTCATGTGGTCTGGGCCACCGTCTAGGTCATGTGGTCTGGGACACCGTCTAGCTCATGTGGTCTAGGTCATATGGTCTGGGCCACCGTCTAGGTCATGTGGTCTGGGCCACCGTCTAGGTCATATGGTTTGGGCCACCGTCTAGCTCATGTGGTTTGGGCCACCGTCTAGGTCATGTGGTCTGGGCCACCGTCTAGGTCATGTGGTCTGGGCCACCGTCTAGGTCATGTGGTCTGGGCCACCGTCTAGGTCATGTGGTCTGGGCCACCGTATAGGTCATGTGGTCTGGGCCACCGTCTAGGTCATATGGTTTGGGCCACTGTCTGGGTTATGTGGTCTGGGTCATGTGGTCTGGGTCATGTGGTCTGGGCCACCGTATAGGTCATGTGGTCTGGGCCACCGTCTAGGTCATATGGTTTGGGCCACTGTCTGGGTTATGTGGTCTGGGTCATGTGGTCTGGGTCATGTGGTCTAGTTCATGTGGTCTGGGTCACTGTCTGGGCCACCGTCTAGGACATATGGTTTGGGCCACTGTCTGGGTTATGTGGTCTGGGTCATGTGGTCTGGGTCACTGTCTGGACCACCGTCTAGGTCATGTGGTTTGGGCCACTGTCTGGGTCATGTGGTCTAGGTCATGTGGTATTGGTCATGTGGTTTGGGCCACCGTCTAGGTCATGTGGTCTGGGCCACCGTATAGGTCATGTGGTCTGGGCCACCGTCTAGGTCATGTGGTTTGGGCCACTGTCTGGGTTATGTGGTCTGGGTCATGTGGTCTGGGTCATGTGGTCTAGTTCATGTGGTTTGGGCCACTGTCTAGGTCATGTGGTTTGGGCCACTGTCTAGGTCATGTGGTCTAGGTCATGTGGTTTGGGCCACTGTCTAGGTCATGTGGTTTGGGCCACCGTCTAGGTCATGTGGTTTGGGCCACTGTCTAGGTCATGTGGTTTGGGCCACTGTCTAGGTCATGTGGTCTAGGTCTTATGGTCTGGGTCACTGTCTGGGTCATGACTAGTCAGCATAACGAGTGGTGCAGGCGTCTAGTTGAGTTGTTCTGACAGCAGGCGTTCGCTGAGAACTGACATGTGCATCTAGTTTGTAATGTCGACAACCGTGTATGTCTGCCATACAAAGCCCAGCCCCCACATATCTTTCTTCTACTTCATTCACCAGAGTTTGAGTCTTGTCATGCCAATTTATCTCCACCACGTTAGCACAACAATTGTATATCGCCGTCTTTGTGTTCAGGAATTTGTCTGTGTTCTGCTCCAGTGTAAGACTGAGCTCTCTCAAGCTAATACAGACCAAGAGAGACTTGAGCTATAACA